CTGATAAGGCCGGTATAATGTAATTTAATTGGGAGGGTATGAATTTGCATAGAGTGCGATGGCAACACTTTACATGGCGCGTAAATGAACCCTCCTCCCCTCCCCTCCTTTAGCTACAATATAAAAAATTAAACATATTTTATTCTGTCCTGTTAACCATATTTTTAGAATGTGCTATTACTATTATTATTATTATTATTAAAGGCGTACACGCATATTTTTCATGAAAAGAGTTTTATTAAAAACAATATTTCCATGAATGTTTTAAAAAAATGTGTAATTATTTTTGTTTTTCAACTTGTACATACTTGAAGTAGTTTTACTCGCATATTACAAATTAATTTAACGAAATCACGTCCTTTTTTTACCCCAAAATTAATAGTTGTGGCGTTAATAGTTGTGACTGAACGTCTTGTTACGTTTTATATCGGATGTACTCTCCATTCTATAACATTTTGTAGGGAGCCAAAAATTGCAATGCTTGGGCAATTTTCAGGTTAGTTTTCTCTACCTAATTTCAGTGGCAATTTTTATTATTTAAATATTCTAGAATGTTATCATGAAGTATTATTTAATATTTCTCGTTACTATACTTGAATACTTAAATAATCAAAAATGCCACCGAAGTTAGGCAGATTAAACTAACCTGAAAATTACCCACTTACTAAACCGACTGTTGTTGCTCGGGTTGTTGTTGTATGCAAAAAGTTTAGTGCACCACTGCCTTGCTTTGATTTAAAACAGTGCTTAAACAGAAATACAGAAAGCAGTTTTGTCGACTAATTTAGTGCTAGCCCGTGTGAATTAAGGTTACTTCAAAAGATCGATTAGTGAAAGTTTAGTAATAAATTTAGGGGACTTAATGTGGAAATAATGAATGTTCAGGACAAGTTAATTTATATTGACACTAAAATTAATTTGAAAAGTTAATGTTCACTCAATCGTGATTTTCTGTTAATTTATACCGAAGATAAATTATGGAGTTTAAATTGATATCTTATTGTAATATTTATTATTAATAAAGTATACAAGTGGAGAAGATTATCGACGAACTTAATAATGAAAGTACTAGGTTAATTTTGTACTAGAATTAAGATTATGTTCTAATTATATACGCAATAGTAATACCTACACCCGTGCATCTAGAGACTCTCAACTTACTTATAATTTAAAGGCAAATAAGCCTGGTCGTAAGTATTTCTATTTATTTCTATTTATTTATTTCTATAAACTTTAAAAATATTACATACAATGGTTTCTTTACACCCCTAAACCTATATTGGTTTGTCTGGGTGCTGCACAATCCTCTTATTAATAATACAAAATAATTACAAGTAACACGGTAATTCGCCCGCGAACACTTAATTACCGCGGAGATGATGTGCACTATGATGGTTGGGTGCACGTATTGACAGTCGACATTGACTCCTCATTAATGGGGCGACCACATCGCCCGCCGGACGAGAGCTCCGCCTTTAACACCGTACAGTTTTTCCACGCTAGTTGTAATAGTTTCACAAAACGGCCACCACCGAAGTAGAACAAGGCGTTTAATTAAAGGACGCTCACCTCACAGTTGTCGGCCGCTCACGGGCTCATCGCATGCGCCTTAATTAGTTTCAGACCGCCCTAACTGGCTTATTTTGTTTTTCTCGGATAATTTTTAATTAAACGCTTGATTAAAATGAAAGTTTGCGTAAGTAGCGAGCGAGGAACAATCGAGCCGGAGTTTAGGATAATGAATTGATGGTGTTACTTTGCTCGCTTGCCTCGCCAGGGACTTAATTAAAAATCGTCGATAGTGTATAATGAAGAGTTTGGAACGAGTTTGTATGGTAGTTAACGTGGTAGCTCTGTTGTTTTACATGTCAAATTTAAATACTTATTGGTTCCTACGCGGATCCGGATAATTAAGTTCTAGTTTCAGCTCGCCACTGGCTCAAAATTAAACTTTTTTTATCTTGAAAATTCTATTAGTGAGATATTATAAATATACGAAGTTACTTTGCAGTTTCATAGAACCTGGAAACAAAACAACGAACGTTTATAATACTAAGCCTACAGTCGAGGATCTATTGGAGGAGGAGAATCTATTTTTATTATTTAAGTATTCGAGTACGTTATCTTGAAATATTAAAAATGTTTCACTCGAGTATTAAATAATACTTCATGATAATATTTTAGAATATTTGAATAATAAAAATTGTCTCCGAAATTAGATAGAGAAAACTAACCTGAAAATTACCCAGTCGTTCCTTTTTTGATTAATGGCGAAAAATTTAAGAGTGTCGCGACTAGGTTGATTCACATGCGGCAGGCTAGACTGTCGGACGGCACTCGGCATGTGTCATTAGCGAATTCTTGGCTTGTCGTCACCATGCGCCGCTAACGAGTTCGCGCTAACGACGTGCTAACTTGATACACCGACAACGACGCCGCCGCCTGTCCCTGTCCCGTGCTCGCATCATGCATTGTGATTATACCATTATGACGTTTATTAACAAGCCCTGCTCGACTATACAACACATTATAAATCGCACGAAAATTGAATTATTGCACGTAGTGGGATTGTTTCGCTTTCCTCTACTCTTCCTTTTTCCACGGAGTGGGATTGTTTCACCCTCTTGTACTCTTCTAGTAATAACGCAAGTGAGTATATATTAAGAGGTATTTTTCTATTATATATAATAGTTTTGTTGTTTAAAATAAGCCTGCTTGATAAGTTTAAATATTTTCTTTTATTTGTACTTCGGGGGTGGCGTTAAAAGCTTTCTAATCCACTCATAACTCCTACTAATTGAGAGTTAGTAATGATTTGGGAAGATTATTTTCCTTGTGTCTATGCGATAAATAGGATTCCCGAAGCAACAAGTTAGATATCCCATTCCCGGACGCATCTCGGTTATATTGAGAGCTATTCGTCTCCGGGACCCGATCAGCCCCCGCGCCACCCCCACGCCCCGCCACCTATCTTCACCTCCGAAGAACTACTTATATTACTTTTCGTAGCAATTTTCATATTATATAAAAGCTGCTTTTATCGTTCTGATATTAGTTTGGAAAGTTTTAAAAGGATTTTCGCACGAAAGCAACCAAGTTTAATGCCGTTAAGTAGTCTTCCTCGTCTTAACAAAAGGATGGAGCTGGAAAAGTTCCCAGGTATAAAAGTTTTTAACTATGGATACAACAATCACTCATCCTCTTCGAGTGTTAACTGATTTATCCTACACCTTTACCTTCTGAATTATGTGCTCCTAATGTCGAGATGAGGGCCGAGACCCCTAGCACCTGTATTCCTCTACCCATACTCCTCTAATGATCTCGTCGAGAGGTTTTAAATTATGTTCCTCATACAACAATCCGAAGTCGACACGTACACAAACGTACGACTTGAGACGTTCGCTTAATGAATAAAATAACGTGTCAAGATACAGTCTTCATCTTAAATTAATGAAGATTCACGGCAACGTATTCAATTTTACACGTAACGAAGGCAAATAAAGTTCGGCTAGGTACGGCACGAGACGGGCGCTAAACTTCCCTATATTATTAAACTCTTGCTAAACACACATTCGTTAATTAATATCGCTCTCAAAGGATACTGAAGTTGGTCCCAATAACAAATTCTTAACGAACTTCTTACACATCTAAAATTGCAACCCCTGGACTGAGAGTCAAAACTAAGCTCTTTATCAGTTTCCTAACCCTTCGTATTTCAGAAAGTTGATTAACAGTACGTACAAAATTTACGGTCCAATAAATAAAACAAATTCACATGTCCTTCACAAACAAATCTAATGGATCCAACGGATTAATGTGATTGCTTACTTTGCGTCTTGTTTGCGATATTAATTCCAAGCGACTCATTTAATTAATTTGTCCTGATTAAGTACGTTTCAGCAGTTCATTTTGTAATCGAGATGCAGTGAAATCTGCTATGCTTATCAATCTTTTTGCCATATGAGGTATTTCTATTTTTATTTGGGACCGTTACCGATGTCGGTGTCGGTGAATCAGGCGACTCCCGCGGGCGTCCAACACAAATAGATTCGTACATGTTTATCTTGGCTCGGTTTAATTAATTTTACCTTCATACACCGATACTGTTTGTCGGGCGTTCCTTAATTGAAAACTCTCTTACCGGAGTAAATGAAACGCAATCCTATTTGCTTCAAATGATTGAAGCGAATTTATCTTTGAAGACTTTTAAAATTTATCTTTTCCTTTCGGTATATCGGTTCGTTTCAACGTTGGCAGTCGGGTCGGAGATGCGCCCGTAATTAAAATTTGATTACTCGGGGATTGTTATTGCAAGCTGTAAATAACGCCCGGCCGCGACGCTAATAGCGACTGTAATAATGGCTCATTAAATATTAAATATGGTTCTTAAACTGTTATTAACTGGCTTATATTCACTTCCCAAGGATGTCACTTGTACGATTGATAATGTGTACATGACTAAGTGTTTGTTTACGGATTTATTGAGTAAACTTTAAACGATTTTTATAAGAACTAACTACTCTTTAACTTCAAGAAGTTCTTGTGTTTCTATATGTAATGATACTATGTAATAATTGAAAGTCGATTACGTAATACTGATACGGAAAATACCTAAGAAATTATATAGAAAGTAATTTATGACACTTGTCACTGTATGTAAGTTTATTTTACGCAAATACTCGGTTCTGATTTATGGCCCGCCTGTGTCGCTGTCGTTACTCCGTTTTATTGACCATTTATCAACGTTTAACGAGCAAGAAATAGATAATCGTAATATAAGATAAAGCACGATTGCTGGTGAAATTTACTACTATTTTGTTATTGAAATTACTTTACTGTGTTTACCTGCTCTTACCAGTAAATGTTTAAAAAAAGAATTTGAAATCATAACCTAAAACAATTAGTTAAAACGAAGTTAAGTAATTAATAAAAATAATCTTTATATGCACTAAGTATACATATATCAATAATTGTAGACATAATTGTAATACTTGTTACAGAATGTTTGGTTCAGGCGGCGCGTGCGCAGCTTGCGGACAAGCAATACCGGCGAGCGAGTTCGTAATGCGGACGAATGCACCCCAGCAGCCACTTCACGTCTTCCACATAAAATGCTTTGCCTGCTCCAAATGTGGATCACACCTTATGCAGGGGGATAGGTAAGGATAACTTCAAAATATTATATAAGATACCTGTGGCATCATCAGAAAAACCTGAACTAAAAATCTCTACCTCACGAGAATTATTAATAACGGAGGATGAGGTGTTGCTGCTGCTATGTGCATACGCAATGAAGACTATGTTTAGCGGAACGTTTAATATTTTTTGCATTTTGTACGTTTTGTAGATACCAAACTTTTCAATAGATAAATACTTGAAAACAGCGGCATCCACATAGAGTTAATTTATTTAAGGGCTATGTGTATGTACTCTTCTATGTTTATTTACAAAGAGCAACCTTTACAGTTTGTTACTAATTCTTACAAAATGAGTAGAAGATGGTAGGAGAGTAATTTGGTTACATAAGGAATAAAGATTATTAGAGTTTTAGTATAACTCCTCCTGTCAGTGATTTAATTTCAAAACATTTACTTTACACGCATAGTCAACTTCACGTTCATCTTTTCTTTTTACGTAAAATCTTTAAAATTCAGGTATTACATGCTGGCGGGATCACTAGTCTGCGAGCAAGACTGGCAGAAACTGATGAAGACGGCAAACTCAACGCCAGTCGCGCCTGTGCGCAAGGGCAAGGTGGGTCGTCCGCGTCGGTCGCGCGAATGAGCGCAGCCTGCGCCCATGCCGCCCGCGCACCATCACTCACACAGGGATTACGAGGAGGTAAATCTAAAAAATAACATCTCGTTTATTAATAACATTCCAATAACAGGCATACCGATAAAGTAGAAATCGCAACGAATACATTCGAACCAATGTTTTTAAAAAAAACTTATTGTCGATAGACGTTAGTGATACCGGAACAACTCAACAGATTAATCAGGTTAAGGATGAAATTTGGTGGACACACATTTTATAATCTTAATTAAAGCCGTGGTAACCTAACTCAAAAATATTTTGAAGTGTGATTTTCGCAAAAAATATTTTTGGTAACTGGTAAACGGATCAATATTAAACGAGAGACGGCGGAACGAAACAAAATGAGAAGTTTGTAGTTAAGTTAAAGGTAAGTATATAGTGCTTGTAATTTACAGTATAGAAAAATAATTTATCTCAATTTTTATAATCAACTAACATGAAACATTACAGTCAACCTACATTTATTAGATTTATTTATATAATATAATCACACTCTTGGTCAAAATGGACCAACAATGTAAAATGAATGGATGTTAAAATGGTCTTGGACGATTCAGATAGCGGCTTTGGATCAGCAAACAAGGAAAATGAATGTGGTAAATGCAAAATAAATCATTATAATAAAAAAAGTGATTATTAGACACAGTCAGGGTGTGCGGTGCCTTATTTGGAATTCAGAAACGTACTCAAAATCCAGACATTTGCGATGATTGTCTTATGTGAAGAACATTTGTTTTTATTAATCAGTAGGTTTGTTACCTAAAGTAAGTATTATGTGTCTTTCATTGTACTTTTTTATTTGTTTAACTTCAGAGCCTATTGAAGACCAAATGACGACCTCGTGGTCCAAATTACAGAACCAGTTTGCTAAATTGGATCAAGCTCGGATCTCACATTTTCTTGATTTTTTAGACGTCCGTAATAATTATGTTGATTAATGATTAATAAATGCAAAATCTATTAATTGTTGTTACATGACGTTTGTAAAAATTTAAAAAATTTATATTTAAATCGCGTTTGAAAAAAAAATGGTCCAAATAACCATGTTTTCCCCCCACTAGTTTCGCAAGAGTATCCCGAAATTTTATTTTATTGGATGTACAAAACAATTTACATTCAGAGGAACATAATTATTTCAGATACAATTTAAGGACTTCATCTAGAAACCGAATGTACGTACATACAGCGTTCTTACGCAAAACGTAAACATGTTGGCATACGGATTACAAAATAACCGCTTAACATACACAAAAAACAGTCGAACTTTCCACCTCCTCCTTTTTTTTAAGTCTGTTAAAAAACCGACCTCCAACGTTTGTAGAATTACGTCTATTTGCCAAGTTTTGTTGAAATCGGTTAACGGAAAGTGGGTGTAATCCAATAAACCGGATTCATCTTCTATTTTGCCTTAGAGGTGGAACACTTTCTTCAAATTTGAATTGAACCACTACTGAAGTACCCCTTTTCCAACAAAAAAAGAATCATCGAAATTGGTTCACAAAATGTCGGAATAAACCCTCCTCCTTTTTTTGTAGCCAGTTAAAAAGTAGGATTATAAACTTAAACTAATGCGAATAAACACTAACACATACATTAATATGACAATAATATTGTGAAGACAAGTCGAAGTAATTGAGGAAATTGGTACGAATTCTACGAAGATTGTTGTCGGAAACATCAATAATATAACCTCCAAGATTTTGATGTTAGTAAATCATTGTAGATTCAGCAAATTCTAGTCAAAGGATATACTATTAAAAGGATATACTATTGTACAGGGTCAAGAGCACGTCAAGCTTGACACTTAAGATTTAAATCGAACTCTATGCCGCTTACGATAAGAACGGTCCAAAGTTCAAAGTGTCAAGCTTGACGTGCTCTTGACTGTACTATATTCAATTTTACTCTTTCATTTATCAGTGCACAGCGCCCATTTATCATTTCATCTCGCTAAGATACCGACTCTATTCTCGGCGCATAATAGAGGTTACAAAATCGCAATCTCGAGCAAGTCTCTATCAAATAATAGATCAATATCGATGTTAATCGGTTACTTTATTCGAAACCAAGCTTTAATGATTATAATGTCATTAATTGATGACTATATTCGAATAACGGAATATAAAAATAATATACTTTATCAGCAATGTGTTCGATGACTTACAAATATGTAATTGCGTGCTTAATTTGTTTGGTACCTAGTTAAAACGAATTCCTTGACATGCTAAATAAGTGCATTTTGTCTTTGTAACAATATGGCATAATTTCCGCACGCTTTCAATGTCAGCACAGCCCGGCAATAGCGACTTTGTTTAGAATTGTTGTGCAAAATTCGAATAGAACTATTCTTGTCTGGTTTTTTCAGATTTATAATAAGTAGCATCGACATTGCTATATTAAGAGGGGGCGATGATGAATTGAATTACTTAATCGCACAACTTGCCTAACTCTATCGAAGATTTTGTGAGCTTGCTGATTCCACATAAGTGTTAACCTGATCTTGGCTACTGTTTCAATGGTTTTACGATATTGCGATTTCAATTTGTTTCGAATAGTTAGGATTTATCGTAACATGGTGACAACGCATATTACACAAGATTTATATGGCGAACGGCTATGGAGTGGAATTTCCTGCATGTAGCTATAACTTGGACTTTTCAAGACGAGAGTGAATAGGCGTTATAGGTGTGAATGCTCCATCGTCAACCTCATCGTCACTGTCCAGCAGGTGAGATGGATTTCCAGTGAGCACTTATTTTATTAATTTTTTTTATTAATTATTTTGGCTTGGATACAAGTCCTTTGAGCCATGTCTTCGTTTAATTATGTTTCTGTAAATATGGCCGCCACAAAGAAGATAGGCAATTTGAGGCGGCGTGCTTGGATTGACTCGGGATTCCTTAAAACGGGCCTATACGGGTATTTTAGTTCGAGATTCGTATAATTTCGCGTTTTAATCTTCGATTAAGTCACAATAGCACTATCCTATTCCACTTTAAACTAGATTTCACAAAATAATTGAAAGTCAAAATAAAAACGACACTTTTCCCTCCAAAAGGTCCAGAGCGAATATTTTTTTATTAAAATAAAGTATGTTTCAGTATTAGAGATGTGATCAGTAAAGCAAAGTACGCAAATAAGTGATACAATTGAACATAAAGCGTAAAAAAAGTATATTTCAGAATTAGAGGTGTTATCAGTAAGGCAAAGTACACAAATAAGTTAAACACATGAACATAAAAAGTAATTATAGCAATATTTATAACGCATGATTGCTGACAAAGCGCACTAATAATCAATTTTTGCTAACTTTGCCCATCGGCATTGGCCAAAGTCGATACTGTTCGGACAATGCTGATCCCACACAACGTGGTCATTGCCTTCAATATACACAAGGTATTAAATATCTCCTATATCAGATGTAGAAATACGATGCTTTTAATTTTAAATCATCATAAATAATGTCAACACATTACTTTACTTACAATTGTTGTATTGTTTCTCAGTGTCAGAATTATTGTAGATAGCTTCTGGAAAAAAAATTAACGTATTTAATTTTATACAATTAACAATTTTTTTATACGAAATAAATTTATATGATATAATATGATAATTTTACTTCGCTTGAGCTTTATTCATCTAAGTTTTCGACCTTTTATTTTACTCGTCGTGACCAAGTTGATTGTGAAATATTTTAATTAATTACACTATTGTCACCTTATCTCCTTATAGCTACGATTTAGTGTCCGTCATTAAACTGGCTAAAAACAAAATAGCAAATAATCTACACGTGAACTTGTAAAAAATATCTATGAATATCAAAAACTATAGCCACATAACTAAATCATAGAGAACATTGATAGGCTTTATTTTTCCTCGTACAAGTCACAAACGCGTCTTTAATATGTTTGTTCAAAAGTTGACCAAAGTGTTGTACGTATATTTTGCGATAATTTCTGACGTTTTTACTATTAGGGAAGAAACTAAACTATTCTAAATAAATCATTAAAACGAAAAACACAACTAAAAATATAACTTTTATAAGATACACACTTGTTCTCGCCCCATAAACACGTGTATAATGCTTCATGCACATCAGAACGTAACATAGTCTTGTATTTTTATTGTAATTATACAACCTTGAATCGCTTGTAATAGAAACTAATACATAGTATATGTTAAAACTTATAATAGTTTTTTAGTTAAACTGCCTCTGTGGCCGAACGGCTACCATGCCGGACTGCCACGCAGAGTTCCCAGATTCGATTCCCGGGCCGGGAGAAATATTTGTATGGCCTACATACTTCTCTCGTGAGTTTGGGTGTAATTTGTGGTTGTCTATGTGTGTGTCCATGGCACCCGCGACTCAGGGTTTCCCTAGTGCGGGGCTTTGTAGAGTGTGTGCGTTATTTATTCTTTAATTGATAATTAGGTCTAGGAACTTTATAAATTGTTTGTTACACAAAGAAAAGACGTTAAAACACATGATCTTTTACAGTCAAAACTGAATTTGATTTAAATTCAGTGAGTCTGTGTTTTTCGGTATTAGTTATAAAAAGAGCAGAGGATTTAAATTTAGTTCAAAATCAAATTCTAATTTCATTTTGAACTAAACGATTGTTATCTACACTATCGTTGAGTACAGCATAATAATATATATATTTAAGTTGCGAGGAAATTAATGAGGACCTGTCAACGTTTGTCTTTTCTAACTGAACACGAAAGGAGTAGAAGAAAAGAATTTAAATTAAATTAAGTTCGTATGAATCGATGCCGCTGTTATTTATATTGTAGTTTAATTTAATTGACTACATCAAAGAAAGTATTAGACTGAAAATAACTAAATTTTTTTTCATTACGGAGCAAAATGACGTTTACAGTGATATTATACATTTTGGGTGTAATTTTAAATTATCATGTAATTGTTATCAGTTTTTTTAAGCTCTGTGTCGCGTGTGCCATGGACACACACACATTCAAACACTAATTGCACCCAAAGTCACAAGTCACAAAGAGTTCGGCCA